GCAACAAAAAAAAATTCGCTACTGTACCAACCAAACAATGACGTTCATGCAAAAATGTATAATCTTACTGGATAAGTTGAACTCTGTGAATGAGAAAGCTTCCTTTTTTTAACACAGGCACAATGACAAATTTTGTTAAACAATAAAAAAGTGACTTTCCTCGTCTCCAAGTCTTCCAAAAATACCAACAAACCATTGTTGCTGGCAGAAGTTTCACTGAAATACAGAAATTTGGTTAAATTTTCTGTACTTTATATCATGACCAGATATTCAATGACTTTTTATACAACCACTCATGAATATTTAACGATTCCATAAGCCAAATTACAATAACAATAATAAGAACGATGACACTAATAAAAACAATAACGATGACAACAATAATAACAATAAAAATAAATAATAAACTATAATAATAATAGTAATAGTAATAATAATAATAATAATAATAATAATTATTATTATTATTATTATTATTACTATTACTATTACTATTATTATTATTATTATTATTATTATTATTTATTATTTATATTATTGTTATTATTATTATTATTATTATTATTATTATTATTATTGTTATTGTTATTAGTATTGTTATTATTATTATTATTATTATTATTATTATTATTATATTATTATTATTATTATTATTATTATTATTATTATTTCTGTTATTGCCATTTATTATTATTGTTACTTATTTTTATTATTTATTATTATCATTATTATTATTATTAATAAATAGTAAATAATGGTGACTAGGCTGATGATGAAGATGACGATAATGATGACTAGGCTACCTCACCATATAAGTTTACTGCTGTAGAAGTGTCAGCATAAAAGCGAACAAAAGAAGCAAAAAATAAAAATGCGTTAAAATTGTTTGAATCAAATAGAGGGCAGAAAAATAAAAAAAGATTACTAAGAGATAAAAATTACATCTATATACAAACACTAAACAGTGCACGTCAAAATTCTTAAAGAAAAGTAGTCAACAGAGAGAGATAAAGTACAAAAAATCAAGACAGAAGAAAAGAGGGAATAAAAAAGTTTTTGGCTTTTAAACTGTATGCGAACTATTTTTAATGACCAAAAAGTAAATATAATGCATTTATTTGATCGTGTTCTGTACATGTAAATAACTTAAAAAAAAATTAAAAAAACTGCACTTTTTTCTCCCTCTTCCCGTGCCTAATGAGCTTTTATGTGATCAATGCTGACGACGACGACCCTTCTTTCAAGCCTTCAAAAAAGAATCAGGGAGAAAATGAGGCTTAACCTCGGCTATTTTTTATAAATATATATGTATATATACTCATGAATAGAGTAACAAACGTTTTTTGTTCGAGATTCAAACCGACGATATCAATCAGACAAACGCTTTCAACAATAAAAAGCTAAAAATTTAAAAAATAAATAAAGGTAGCCAATCTAAATACAGCACTTGCTACTAACTGTTCGCTGTCACTTCACACTTCACTGCAGTATGCATGTTAAATACACACGAACACAAACACGTACCCTTTATTATACTTTTCGTTGCTATCGGTAGCGAGTTGTATGAACAAGCTTTTTAGGCTGCAGTTTAGCCAATGCGTAATGAACTTCCCGTTTTGGCGTGCTGCCAACATATTTGAAAGCAAGATAACTAACTGCTGTCACATTCCTGTTTCATCTCTGCTGGCTTCATCACCACAGCGTAGGAAAAAGATCACATAATATGCTTAAATATTGCTTATTTTCTTTAAACGTGCAGCATACTGAATTAAACTTTAGGCGCAGTACGAAATTGTAAGCCTCAAGTGAGCAGGGAAGTAGCAATGAAACGTACTGCTTGTTGTAATAGTAATCCACAAACGAGTATCTTTGGCAAACTACAACTTTCCGACACACCCAGTTCATTCGCCTCCGAGTAGCAGCACACCTAAATCCTGGTAGTAGGCCTTTTTTTTACGTCAAAAACTGAAGTCTTTACATTTGCAATTTTATTTGAACACTAGTACATTAGAATTTGGACTTTTTGCAGTACTGTATGTAGCTTTGCTTTATAGCAGCATCATTATCACCAAATTTTACCCTCACATTTCAAAGACTGTTAGAGGGAGCAAATGAGATACCATACCATAGGTGTATTAACGACTACATCACTATTTGGCAATCTACAGTGTAACTTCCAAGTTGGAATCTGTTGGTGTCTGAATAGTTCTAGATGACAGGTTGATAACATGTAACCTGCCTGATATCTTCATGTAAAGAAATGTTTTTTTGCACATCCAAAACTATATATAAATAAATAAATAAATACATATTTATCTATTTACATATAGTTTCCACGTCTAAGTAGTATTTTGTCATTCCTAGATCAAAGCTTGAAAAATTTTCATTTTCACCATCAGCAAAATTACTATCTTTAATGAAACGCATCTGTAAATACTGGTCTACACCACAGGGATTTTCTTCCCTTTTTTCCCCTTTATTTTACCATCAATTTTACCTGTAAGGTAAATATCTTCTCAGTGTTCGGTATTTCTCGCTTTAGCGCCTGATCAGTTCCGATGACCAGCTCTCATTAAGCCCACTTGACACCTGCTTCAAGCGCGTGATTCCATTAGGTTGATACAATCATAATGTTCCTTCTCTTTTTCATAAAACACTGACCTCTTTGAAGACTGCGTTTAGCTTTAATTCTTGAGGCGAGGTAATCTGGGTAATTGTTAAATACATTATAATATACCGCTAAAAAACCAGTAATTAATTAAGTGTGAAGTTGCTTCAAGGTTCTTTTTGCACCTGAAGAACACTTGAAGAAGCTTAAAGATAATACAGTTGCAAGTGGGACTAGTTTCAGCAATAGGCAGCCATTCATAGACTCGAAACCCACTGGAAGCCAATCGAAACTGTCGGACGCTGTGAGGGTGGTTTAGACAGCGAGTAATTTATTATTTTTTAAATGTATTCCGCTGTAGTCTGCATTATATATATATATATATATATATATATATATATATATATACGTATATATATATATATATATATATATATATATATATATATAGCGTTTTAAAATTGAAAAGAGTAGTGTGGTTGAGGCATAGTGAATTAAAATTGGTAAAGACCAATCAGTAGACGGCAAGTCTATAAATTTGGATGTGTAACGAGTTATTTTTGCATTGAAAATATTTACAATTAGAAGCCTTACCTCATTTGCCTTAAGTTTTGGTACTGTATCGAAGCTTACAACTCAGAATTGGCTTCGTTCCGATATTCATTCAATCGCTTTGTTTGCTCTTGCAGCATTTTTCTCCGCAGTTTCATAACATTTTACACAATTTTTTCGCAGATATACATTTGCAGTTTATTTCTGTTTAGAGCAACTCAGAACTATCGATAGTTTGACTGGCGAGTGCAAGGAGAATTGTGAAGTCTTTGTCTGTGTTTTTGCAGTTGGACATATTCTTTGTTTTGTTTTTTTTTTCTTTATTTTTTTTCTTTTTTTTTTCATTTTTGTAAGTGAGTTGCTGAGTGCGTCTATTTCTGATTTTTTATATTTTTGTTCCGGTATATTCTTTTTTTATTTTTTATTTTATTTTTTATTTGTATCCTTAATTTTAATTTTTATTTTCATTTTTACGTTTAATAGTGATATCGGCTGTAACTGAAAGAAAATGTCGGTTTGATATCGTTTTTGACGTTCTTCGCAAACTGAAAGACGACCGAGACTTTGTTCTTTTAGTGTTTTTGTTATAAAACTTGCGCAAACACTGGTTCAGTCAGATTTGTTTGTTGTAGAGCGTGGCGATGAAAGAGAACATACCAGAAAATGCGAACGAGCATTGTCCAGGTGCAGGAAGCGAGGAGGCTGGAAAGGTTCTTATTATTTTTTATGAAGAGATTTCTACGTTCGAATACGATGAAATATTGTTTTTTTGTAGACAAATTGTTCTACAGCTGATGTAAGCATTGTTTAAAGTGGAATTTACCGGAAAACTTATTGATGAAACTATTGGTAAGAGCAGTGCACACTGCTGGGAAGGTGTGAGAGTATCACGTGGAGTAAAGACTCAAAAAGTAGAAATCTCAAAAAATTTCTGCGCAGTTGTGAGTTTGTCACATAGAGAATTGTTTTCTTTCGATTACAAATAGGTTTTGGAGGAACCAACCCAAAATTGTTTTTTCTTCTCTCCAACGCAGTTCGCCTTACATTCTCGCTTTGAATGACGCTTTAAAACTTTTGTTGTTGCCTCAGTTGCATAATTGATTTTTGAATACCTGAAAAGTTATTGTATCGTTAACTCAGGACTGTTGCTGAGTTAACTGGAATTTTTCCTGGGTTTTTGTTTGTTTTTTTTTTGTTTTTGTTTTTCTACATGATGTAACTACTTAAATTATTTTCTAAGCCCTTTTTTGGTAGATAGATTTTCTGATGCTTAGTAGTGCTTTTTAGGCTTCGGCCTGTGATGGTTGCCCAAATCAGAGTGCCTGTGCATCCGGTTTGGGTCGCCAAGTAGACCCCGATATTGAGTCTATACGAAATCGCTTATCTGGCGTCCGACATATTCTGCTAGTTTTATCAGGTAAAGGGGGAGTTGGAAAAAGCTCGTTCGCAGTTAATTTGGCTCGAGCTCTCGCAACGAACAGGAGTTTACAGGTTTATTTACTTTAGCTACGCTTCTAATCTTTGGAATAAATGAATTTTTATCCAAATTAAAAAAGATGAGAGGAAGAAAAGAGTAAGAAATAAAGTGCTGAAAATTTTGAGTGGGTTATTATATATCTGTCTAATGCCTCGTTTCTAAGGAAAACCGGTATTCATCTTTTCATACATTGATAATATAGAGAAGTTTTCTTGATTATTACTGTAAATTTCGTCTTGCAGGTTGCTTTGTTGGACGTGGATATTTGCGGTCCTTCGCTAGCGCGTATGTTAGGAGTTCAAGATGAGGCGGTACACGAGAGCGCAGATGGTTGGAGTAAAGTGTTTATTGATGACAATTTGTCTGTTATGAGCATCGCGTTTCTTCTGCAAGAAAAAAATGATGCTGTTATATGGCGTGGGCCGCGCAAGAACCAGATGATAAAGAAATTTTTGATGGTAGCTGTTAAGGAAATGGCGTTATTTTATTAAGTTTTGATCTTTGGATTTTCACTTGCTTGTGTGGCATAGCAGGCTTTTTTTTTTCTTTAACTTCTCCAATGTTTCATCGATTAAACCATTTTAGGATGTAGACTGGGGCGAGTTAGACTATCTGATTATTGATACTCCCCCTGGAACTTCAGATGAGCATATTTCCATCGTTCAATATGTGCAGCAAACAGGTTCTTTGGATGGGGCAATATTGGTAACAACCCCGCAAGAAGTTTCCCTCCAAGACGTGCGTAAAGAAGTAAGTTTTTTATATTTTTGTTTATTGCTCCAAATCAATTCATTTTTTCTGTATCTAATAACATTTTGCAGATATATCCGTTACATTTTTTTCGGCAATAAATAGGGTGTTTACTATTTTACAAAACTTTTGTTCACATGACTCGAAGGTTCTATCAAGAATATATGTAGATGTTTTTTAGGGCGTTTTTCACACTTTTTATTTTGAAGTTGTTCCTTACAATGTTACTTTAGTTTCTGAGGTGCCTTTCGTTATTTTGTTCAGAACTTTGAAGCCTCTAATTTTTTTATTTTCGTAGTTTCATTTATATTCTAGTTTTAATTTCTTGACCTGTGCGCGAACAATCATTACTTTACTCCTAAATGTATTTCAATTGACGGATTTAAACGTATTTTAATTGACGAAAAATTGTGTGGGAGATGATGAAAATGTTATTCTTCTAAAAGAAATTCATAAATTTTGTTAGGCTGTAAGCACGGCTATGACGGGTAGAGCTTTAAAGCATTGTTTTACGAAATTTCTAAAATGCCTCCAACTTGTTCCGTTTTTGGGGCTTTTGGCGAAGTACTATTTGTAAAGCTGGAACCACTTTGAGTCAATTCGTGATGAGTTTGAGGTTTTTTTCTTCTTTCGATTTTAGTGTTACTCAAAAAAATTTTCATGGAGTTGGGTAAATGTTGCTACAACTGATTGATGTTACTTCACTGTTATTCTTAATTACAGGTAAATTTTTGCCGGAAAACCGGAATCAATATCATTGGTGTGGTAGAAAATATGAGCTCTTTTGTGTGTCCTTGCTGTTTTGCAATTACACCACTATTTCCTAAGACTACTGGAGGAGCCGAAATTATGTGTAAAAAAATGTCTCTGCATTTAATGGCTACTTTGCCGCTGGATCCGCGGATGGCTGCGTGCGTTGACAGCGGAGAGGATTTTTTGGGTGAAAACGCGGATTCTCCTCTTGCTAAGGCTTACTTTTCGTTGGCCACTTCGTTGATTGCTGCAGTCTAATGTTTGTATCGTCAGTGTGGTTCTTCCATTTCTTACATTTTCCGCGCTTGAGCTTAAATGTTTCTTCTGCTGTGTTATGCTGTAAAGGTACTGGTCTCATTATGCGTTTTTTGTAATAAAGCCTGCTGATTTGGTTACTAGTTGTCCTTCAGAATTTAGTTATATTAATTATTGAACGACCGTTTTACATTTTGACAATCCTTCGTCTTCAAATTATTTTCAAATTACTGTAGTTTCGATCACCTTTTGCATCATCGAAGACGATCACATGTGCGACAACTTGACATATCTTCAGTTACTATGGGGACGAAGTTGAGGCGGGTCGTTATTACTGGCATAGGGATTGTCAGCCCTTTTGGGGTTGGAAAGAAGGTGTTGTTTGAGAATTTGGTGGCGAATAATTATGCACTGCAGTTTGATAGTAAATTGAAGGCTGTTTTGGGCAGGGTCCCGGAAACGGAGTCTGAGAGTTCTCTGAACCTAAGTGAATGGAAGGCAGCAGGCCAGATGCGTCGAGTGAGTCGAGGTTTTCTCATTTTCTTTTTAGCATATGAGTTGCAGATTTATTCTCTGTAAAATCTAACGTGATCCATAAAAGGGTTTCGGATTGGAAGAGTGTGTATTCAGTTGTTGTAGCTTTCGTATGGGCATTTATTATGAAGAAAATATCTCAAAATTGATTAGTGCATCTGTCAGAGGGTTTTTAAGCTGATATTCAAACTGTTTTTGAACTAATTGACTCAATTAGATGGAGCAGTTTGGATTTTTGTCATCCGGTTGGTAGTTAGACTTGGCTTGGTGGGACATGAAAAATTTTATTAAGTTGAAGTTTGGAGTGTATATTGTTGCTGTTACGAAGATGACCTGTTCGGTGCAGTTTTTTACCTGCGGATTGGATTTTTTTTTTTAAAGGAGTGTTTTTTAAATGAAATTTTGTACTTATTTCTTCACTTTTAGTGATTGTTTTTACTTTTGAGGTAGCATGCTGGCCATGGTAGCAGCTGAGGAAGCAATTCAAGATTCTGGCCTACAAAAGTCTGATTTTGCTGAAATGGGTGTTGATGTCGGCATGGGTATTGCAGATTTGGAATTAATTGTAGAGGCTGGAAATTTAATTAAGGATGGCAAACCGCATAAAGTTACACCTTATTTTGTCCCTCGTATCTTGACCAACATGCCAGCAGGAAATATCAGTATACGGTAATTCCTTTGCACTTTACTCATGGGACCTTTTGCTTTTATCGTTAATGCATATAACAGTTACGACCTTGACAGTTACGGTATGCGAGGTCCGAGTCTAAGTTCAAGTACAGCATGTGCGACTGGTTTAAACGCAATCGGCGATGCTTCAACATTTATTTCGATGGGGCGAGTTGAACGTATGATTGCAGGAGCGACAGAATCTTGTGTTAACCCAATTGCCGTGGTTGGTTTTCAAAGGCTAAGGTAATTCTGATGTTGTTTGATCTTTATCTTACGTAAACTTTATTGAACAGTGATAAAGGTTTGGTTAGTAACACTTATGTTTTCAGAGCCCTGTCTTCTAGTAAGTCATGTCCGTTTGATTCTAAAAGAGATGGATTTGGTCTGAGTGAGGGAGCTGGGTTAGTTATTTTGGAAAGTCTGGATTCTGCGACAAAGAGAGGGGCAAAGATTTATGCAGAAATTAACGGATACGGTTATTTTTAACAATATATTTTTCAAAGTTAATTGTTACGAGTTGACTGTAGTACCTTTTTTTCATTTTAATTTCAAAGTTCAGTTATGAGTTTCGCTTATCCTCAAGTCTTTTTGATGAAGACGATTTTGCTGTGATATTAATTTAGAAATAGTAATTTTTAGGTGTAGCAAACGATGCTTTTCACCTAACAGCTACGTCAGAGGATGGAATTGGAGCCGCACTAAGTATGAAGCGTAGTATTGATGAAGCTGGATTTGATCTTTCAAGTATAACTTATGTAAATGCTCATGCTACTTCAACACCTGTTGGTGATTCCGCTGAAGCGCGTGCGATTGCCTCACTTTTCCCTGGCGTTGCTGTTTCCTCAATCAAAGGTAATTTTGAACTGCCATATAAATTCGCAAAACGTATATGGTTTGCTGTACTGACAACTTTTTAATACTTGAGCTTTTTTTTTTAAACCAGTTTTTTTTTACTTTTTAGTGTCTAGTGGGATGTGGAATAAATCCAAAGTTGGAGTTTGCAGAATACGACTTAATGCTTTTTCCTGCACTAAATAAACTTATCTATTCTTGTCGTGGTGATGAATGGTTGTGATGTAGAACTTGGGATTTTAAGAACGGTTCGGAAAAAGAAAAAAAAACTTGTTTTTAACCAATTTTCTGCTTAATTTGAAAAAGTGTAATTGATTGGAATTAGCAACGAATTGTACGCTTTAGTTGTACATATGAGGACTTTACAGCACATTTCCAAATTAGAAGGAGGGGAGTGAAGGTGAAGACCATTCCAAAAGACTGATTTTGCTTGATGATTTTTATTGTTTTATTGTGTCCAGTTGTTAGGATGAATTTTAACGACTGGTGTTCAAGTTTTATGGAGCATCAACTTGAGTTAAAAACTTAATCCCAAAAACTACTTATATATTTATGTTTCGATCTCTCTTGGTTCAGACGATGAATCTTTGTGTTTTTTGTCAAAATAAATTTCTTTAAATTCTCATCGTGTTATATCTTTTGAAACACAGTTGAGTGAATAACTTGAGAGTTAAATTTTAGAAAACGAGAACTATGACTGTTAGAAGAAGTTATTTTGAGTGCAATTTTGTATCCATTCGTTTCAGACGAGTACTCTAAGCCAAAAAAATTTTTTGTTTCACTCTCTCTTGTTACGATCAGTAAAAGATTTGGAGAAGCTTCATTGAGGTCTTGCTTTTTGAACATTCAGATACTTAGTTATTTTAGGACACATTGGACATACCTTGGGTGCTGCGGGGGCCATTGAAGCGGCCGTGGTAGCAATGTGTATCAAAGAGGGTATAATTATTGGTAACGTTAACCTGGAGAACACAGATATTACAAGCGATATTAGACTGTTAATGAAGGCCGAGACATGGAGTTCAGGGCGAAAAGCCCTCGTCAATTCTTTCGGTTTTGGGGGTCCACATGCAACTCTTTGTATGTCTGAATACCTGGAATCTTAGTTTTGAATGCAAGCTGTTTTTTATTCATTTTGCGCCTTTGTTGTTGTACTTTTTCTTAAAAATATGCGCGACCATATATGATCTGTCACCTCAATTATTTTCCAAAATTTTTTGATTTTGAGATTTTGTGTAATTGTTTTTTCATTCTAGTCGGTCGTTAGAAGTAGAAGTGTGTAAAGTTTTAAAGAAGCAACAAAATTTTTAATAATTACAGTTAGCGCTTGGAATGGTTGATTCAATAGGTAAAAACATTTATTTTTTACTTCCAGTAATCAACAGAAGAGGGAAATAATTGTTGCATTTTCAGACAGCGCTACGTTTGGCCAATTTTTTCTGAGGTGTTTTCAAGTTCTTTCGTGGTATAGGCTTCATCCTCTTTCTTTGTGCTCTGTAAGCTTGAGTTACATTGGATTTGGAAGAACCAAAACGTGGATGAAGGTAGCGATCGTTGTATAGCACAAATGCCCTAAAGTTTTTAATGGTATTTGCTTAATATTCTTTAAAAACTTTTTGGGAGGTTACACTCGATGTATTTAAGCGCTGTCACAGTTTTCGAAATTTTTTAGAGCATTCGCCTGTTTAAATATCGATGGTTAAACAACATTTATGTGTGATTTGGTAGTAGTCGGTTTCAGTAATAAGGTAACTGTATAAAAATAGCAGCGGGTTCAGTTTAAAGGAAGAAGCGTTTTGCTACTATTTATTATTACATTTGAAGGCGTAATTTGCTGGAAACTAAGGTTGTTGAGGAAAAAGATTGACAGAAATTTTTACCGGTATGTTTGCAGGCTGATGATTAAGGCGTTTTTGCATGTAAAAAATATCATTGTATATGTAACCAAACCCTTGTTAAATATTAGAAAGAGACGGACAAATAAGAACGGACAGTCTTGCAGAGAATTAGCCAATATTATGGCCCACATATCGACATCGTAGATCACCTGTAGGCCAATACTAGAAAATTTTTTTACAACCGTGAATAGGAGGCAACTTTAGTCAGAAAATCTCATTAACTTACAAAGATTTCAACTCGATTATATTGAGTAATATGAAGTCAGAGTTGCTTTTAAAATTGTAACAGTAGAAGCAAAATTTTTTTTTGCACGTATAAAGTGACTGAAAGAAGGAAGCTTACGTTACATGGATTTGGACCTCTGTTTTGAATGACTACTATATCGTCATATGTTTTTGTTATAGCAACTCGCATTTTCCTTGCCCTGCTAACAGTCAATACAAATGGGAACTGTAGAAGACTTAGCTAAAAAAAAATTTTTTTTCGAATATGATTGATATTTTCCAGTTTTTTTCTACTATTTGTTTTGAAACAAGTCTGTAAACCAACTTTTGCAAATAATAATTTTTCTTTAACGTTTTATTTCACAAAGGTACAATGGGCTTGGAAATATCTAACTGAATTAAACACCTAGAATAGGTTACCTTATCAGACAGAGAAATTATTGTTGGAAAAACACTGTAGAGAGTTTAGGTGACCTAAATTATTTTTTTCTAAAAAACGAACTTACAGTCCATGCGCCGAGAACGACATTCTGTACAAAAGTATCACTCCAGACAACTCGTTCTTTAAAGACATTGAAGAATTCGACAATATCACTGGATATCGCCTAAATAAAAGAAATTTAGTTGCGGTATAACAGCGAGTAATAAAGTCGATGTAACACACTGATATTTATTATCAACAATTTTTTATTACTTCTCTGTTACCTAAATTCAAAGACCACCCAGGGGGAGAGAGAGGGGAGAGGAGGAGTTTCTTGTCAAATAATTTACTGTCAGTTGTGGCAGTATTATAAATTTGTCGATTAAAGAGGAAAGAAATAATAAAATGTAAAAATTACTGTAGCGTTCGTAAATTTTTATTGCAAAATTTATGCTTTATCTATGTATTAAAGGAGGAAATTTTGATTATATTATCGTCATTGAAACAAAATATGCCATTAATCAAATCAAAATAATACAGGTTAATATATATGAGAAAAAAAAACTAAATAATTTGTACGCTTAATATCTATTGGTTTTGGCTAAACCAATCGTTTGGTTACGTTTACCAAATAAATGACTTACGAGATAGGCCAAAAGTATTTGTGAAAGTTGTTCTCTGGAGATATCACCCTTTGGCAGAATCCAACGTCCAATAATCAGATTAACCAACAGTAATTGTTCCAACATTTGTAGACGAAGCTCTTCGTCACCAATAATTCCATCGTTATCCGTACGCATTTCACAAAGTTTTCTTTCCAGCAACCAAATTGGTGGAGCTGTTGCCAAAATGTACAGGAATACAGATGTGCAAAACCTGAATATTAAAATTTAGTGGTTAAATTATTTCAAAAATAAAAAAAAGGTTTTGTTTAGCACTTTTCTTTTTTGTCAGTAATTATTGTAATTTTAGTCAGCAAACTCATTAAACATTTCAGAGACAACAAAAAAAATAAACTCCATTTTAATCTTAAAATGTGTGTAAGTGTAGCAAAAGTCTGTTTATGAATATGTTTACACTGAAAATTTTTCAATGATCATTGACTATTTCACCAATATGTGTCTGTATTCATCAAATATTACTTGTCTACCAGAAATGTATCGCTGCAGACAATTGTAGGAAATTGCTGAATAGATTAACTGAAACTAACCATCTTCGTTCATCACCGGCTCTCATAACTATGCTATATGCACCTTCAAAGATGATACCGATTGCAACCAATGCAAATCCCCATATAGAATTCTTTTCTGTTAACTGTAATCATCAGGCAGCAGTTTGTTGACAAAACTATTACTTCAATATACGATTAATTATATGAATTTGCCTATATTTGTTTATTTTTACCTTTGCTGTTCAACAGTGTCAAAAATAAAGATGGAAATCTTGCTTAGTCAGTTATACATCAGTGAAAATGTTTCATTAATATTTCTGTAAAATAATTCTGTTGCATCTTAGGAATTAAAATCAGTTCTATCCCACTTTTTTTTCTTTTAAAATTTTGTTGTAATTTGTTCTTTAAGAATATCGTAAAATAAAGTCTTTTTTAGACCAAATTTCTAAAAAAGAATATTTTTTGGAAAGTTACTGTCGACGTGATATGTTTCATCATCAGTTTTTCTAACAGTATTTAACAGTATGATTAGCCAAAAAGAAATGAAACATTACTCTCATATTATTATATAAAACGTATATTGAAAAAAAAAAAATAATTTTTGAAGGAAATTATTTTACAGGAACTGGAGAAAAAACTGTAATATTAGGTTAGCACTTTGGCAGTTCTGTGCATTGCTGAACAAGACAAAAAAGAAATGGTCAGCCAAACTCTACTGAAGTGATCATCACAAAAATTTTTTTGCTCACAAATTTTTTTCACTTTTGTTTTTCCAATTTTTTTGTTCCTTTTTTTCCAGCTAACTTTTTATTCGTGAAGATTAGCTGAGGTCAATGTATTTTAACAATTAATCGTTTTGCTAAAATAAACCATGACTGCTTACTTTTTTGACAAACATCCTGTTGTAGAAGAGAAAAAGAAAAAACAACATCTTTTTGAAGGGAAAAAATTTTTAGCTCTAACAAAGTTTATAAACTTCCAAAAGCAAAACAACAAAGATTTGATCATTTCCATTTTCTAAATCAGAATTAAAAAAATTTTATCAATACCAAATCAGCACCAATAATATTTCAAAAAATTATCCTTAAAAAAGTCTGTAGATTTATAAAATGTTTTCAGTACCAAAAAGACAATAACGCTTGGAAGATATACAGTCAAATACTTTAAAACCATTACCCATCCACTTTGAGATGTTGAAAAAAAAAAAAATCATGGATAGTATTAAAAAATGAATATCATACAATTTTCGGTTCGTTATTAAGTAGAAAATTTTAAAAAATATAATTATATTTGAAGAAAGAACCTTTAATGCTAAAGTTACACAAAAATTCAGCTGAACTATAAAGTGAATAAAATAACCTCAAAAGATGGCCGTAAACACTATTTTTTAAAGTTTATCATTTTTAAAGCCAACCATATGATCAATTCAAAATTCCCAGCTGATATAAATTTGAGAAAAAAAAGTTGTTGAAATATTAGAAATATAGAAAAAATCTTGATTTTTTTGCTAAGACTTACTTTTACAGTGCGCCAAATGGTTGCTATAGAATGAACGATGAACAAAACTCTGGTGACGATTGTGCGAAGTATATTCAGTAATATGGAGGTTCCCTCATTTGGGAGAATCAACTCCGGGTCACCAGGCGAAAGTGAAAGACGTTCGCACTGCTTCGACTTTCGATGTCCACCAAGTTCTTTGGTCCTAACCTTTGTTCCCTTTTGATTTTGAGCAAGCATCTGCCTACTGACCATCATAGCATATGCCTTCTCGCCACTTTCTGTTTCCGGATCCACAACAAAAGTAGTTTGTTGACCTTTCTGAATAGTCACTGTCAAACAACATGTAAATTTAGTCCAAAAGTTGTCACTACTATGAACCAACTTACTTGTGTATGCACTAATGACATCCTGATATATGTCTTATTAACATTAACGGCAGCAGCAGCAGCAATAGCAACGGCAGCAACGATAGCAATAGCTAAGCAGACCAACTGCAGTTTTCACCAAATCTTAACTCTTTTTTTCAATGCCTACTGCAGTTTTTAATAGTTCTACACTAATTCTAATTTTTTTTTCTGTCTATTACTAAAAACAATTTTAGATACGAATCAAATAGTCCATTTCTAAAAAACATTACTGGATCCGTTACGGTAGATAAAAATAAAAAAAGGAACATATGATATAGAAAAATAAAAAAAAAAAAATAAAAAGAAGCAGAAAAATTACAGTAAAAAAATTATTTTAAATAGAACTCTATGTGAAATATCAGTGCAGTTGTTTTTATTAGATAATTGTAAATTAAATGAGTCAACGGTATGGTATTCACCATATTCACCATTGGCATCGCCGAAGACGACAGTACAAAAATTACGGTGTTTTGTTCAACAATGAACTGTTAACCAAATCAGTTAAACTTTACTAAAATATCCATCTATTTATTCATCCACCCATCCCATTTATCTATTCATCTATAACACCCACGCAGAAACACAGTCACACAAACAGACACATATAGACATCCAAATAAATCATAAGAAAAATCGGTATTTGATAACTAATGAGAACAATGGCGTAAATTTAGGAAGTGGTCAATGCTGATACTATTTGCAATGATAAAATAGAACTGGACAGGGGAAAAAAACAGTCTGTTGCTGTTGCTGCTGTTCTTTGCAAATTATTTCCTATTGCCCAAATTAAGTTCAAAAAATCAAAACCTTTTTTAAGGCCGTTTTGGCATACTGTCCTTAGACAATTAAAACCGAAACTAAAAGTGGAAAAATGAAGAAAAAAAACAACTATTGTTGTCCAAAAAAACTTTTTTTTTGAAAATAAAATTGAATGTTGGAATTTTTCTTTTTTTCTTTAGCAAGTCCATCATCAACGGATTGTTATTAAAAGTTGAAAAATAGCGGTAAACACCAACTAAACCCAAATATGGATAGTGCTCATTTTTTGACATTAGATAGAAAGTTTTATGAAAATTATATGCAGATAGATTGCCTTGTAATAATTCCCCAGATGATACAACCAAAATCTTAATTTTAATCATTCGGGTTATTCTCAGAACAAACAAGGAAACGAACAAATAACTAGATGGGCAAAGCAAGCAAAACACACACAAGAAAAAAACTTCATCAAAATAAGGGAAACAAAAACAGCAACCATATAGGATACGGCCATCATTGCTGTCCGGCTATATTCTGGATTCATCCTTCATGGAAGTTGCTCATAATGTTCACCACCGGATTCGCTGTCGAGTTTTGTCGACAATTTTCTTACTTATATTCCCATAGATTTCTTGGAGTTAATATGTGCAGCTCCACAGTACACTTTGATCCAAGCAAATAAAATACTATTTATTTCAAAATATACACTTTAGCGGAATTCAGTTTTATACCTTCAGTTTCTCTCCTGATGACTTCGTCGACATTGGGGGCACATGTATATCGAGGAGTTACGAAGAGGCTTCTGATTTTATTTAAAATAACACAACTGGAACATTTCAATTATTCATTGCTGTTATGGCTTGTGTTGAAACCAAAAGTTTTTAACTGGTTATAGATGCACTGATTGACCACAATGAGACACTGACTCCGACTGTTATACGATAATTTATAAAAAAACACATATCTTTCTGGAGTCATTTAAACGCGCAAAAGAACGACAAAAGAGGGAAAAATTACTGCATAATATTTGTCTTGCGGAATAGAATGAGTTTAAATAAAAGCGGAAGACGGAGGATAGGAAAAGGATGGAAAATGCATTTTCATGAATGATTACTTCAGTTGGCAATATCATAACTTCTGCTTAAAAGATTAATCTGTTTTTGGTTCTTTATCCTTTACTCAATCCATCTATTCTTCTGATCTTATCTGGTAGAACGAAAAAGCTAATAAGAGTTAACATTTTTTCTATGGCTTCTTTGTCTACCCAGTTTTCTGAAGTGGATTTCATCTTCTGCTTGCTTTATGATAGCTGTCGGTTCATCCCTTGCGCATTATTCTACTGCAAAGATTTCTTCCTATATATGATCAGCAGTAACAAAAACGGCTAATACAAGAAAGGAAAAAAGTCCTTCAAAAAACAAAACATGAAGTTTAGTTCGTTTCAGTGTCAAAATATCTATGCTTTGTCGGAAAAATAACGCAAAGGAAAGCAATGAGAGGGAACAAAAGCTGTATTTTTTTTCCTCTCAAATAATTTTCGTTTAATTCAAAGCACTGTTGTCTACTTCATCCGAGGGCGAAGACAAGTTTCGAAAACTGTCTATTTAGCTACTTCCTCAGACAATGAATTAACGTCTGCCAATGTTCGCTGTATGTCCAGTCAATTCAAAAAAAAAAAAAAAAA